TATAAGTAATCCCTATGACGGCCCTAACAATTCTCACTTAAAGTCGTAACCCAAAAAAGACAAAGTAAAGTAAATTCAGATACGTATACAAGAAATCTAAAAAAAAATACAAAATATAAAAATAAATTATATATGTACGAAACTAACTAAAACTATTTTATTGAATTACGTAAATATAGGTATGGTAATGAACATTGTATACAAAGATATTTTATACCTTGTTCTATATTTGGTTCCATTATATATAATATACATAGATATATATAATTTAAGGATTCCATTTAAGGATTATAGTAGTAGTTATACTACTATATATAAAACCAAAGTGCATCAATAATGTTATTTTTCAGATTATTTAATTCATTCTAAGATTTTGCAGTCTAGTTGCGTATTTATCAGAAGTCTCAAAAAAAACAATTATTGTTTATTGCCATTAGAAAATTAACCAAAAAGCAGCGACCACCATGTAATGGAATAGTCCTTAGCCGTGAAAAGGTGAAGCCATTCGGTTATGACTATTATCTCCATACTCAGCTACTTCGCATACATGGAACATAGATTCGAAATGAAAAAATCCAATATTTACTACAAATTCATTCGTGTAACAAATATCTGTTTTTACACCTATGGCTTTAAAAAAAAATCTTATTTATCTTACAGTTTATCGTTTAAGTATACATTTTCATTGTACAAAATTGCATTCATTCGAAGAATTCAATTGTATTTTCTTTGTTAAAACTGAATGAGAGAAGTTAGATGTTTAAAGAACCCCCACATTTTCAAAAGATCTGGAGCAAGATTGTCCCCTCTTTGTCAGCTCTCCCCCTGAAAAAAGGGATTGTAAATTTACGACCTGACCGCATATGGGAGTATTTCAAAATTAGCAATGCCTTCGCCGGAAATCGAGCCGCGGACCTCTGGAATACGCACCTAGCGTGTATTCGTAGTTGTGTTTCTTTGAATATTAATAAATTTTTGATTCAGTATTTCGTTTGAATAATTAATATGTGAATATTTTTTCTCTTTCTCTAGAATGCCGTCCCTGTTCACAGAGAGAACTCATATATCTGTTCTGCACAAGTGATTTCGGTAAGATTTCTTTGATAGCCTGTAATCTGTTTTTCATCATTGAATTAGATTATTTGGATTTGGCAAAACAAGTCTAAAGGGAAGGGTAACCTTCCTGGCGAATTTTTGAAGGGAAACTGGCTTGTATTAACGTTACACATGAAAAAAAACCTCGAAAACTTCCAAAATATCCGAGCCCGTTGGCAGGACTTGAACCGGCTCGAATTATGTTCAGTGATCTTGCATAGGTGGACCTTTTCATTCATGAATTAGACCATTAGTATACGATTTTCCAATTGAAATCTGCTTTTGTTTATTATGTGCCATCTGATTTATTTTTAAATCAGTAATCAGACAATATTAAATACTAAAATAATATTTTGAAAGTGTTTTGAATAGTGTAAAATCCTTTTTAGTCGGTGAATTTTGTGTTTTTGGATAAATAGTAAATTTTATATTTTTTAATGGTCTCTGTGTATGATTATGATGCATATATTACTCTAATATGATGCATATGGGTGTACTCCAACTGCGCTGATGAAAATCCCCCCCCCCTCGTCCTGAGATAGTCAACTTCGCCGATCAAATTCTTTCCCGTTGGCCACAGGGTTACAATTTTATTTTGAAGCAACTGTAGCAAGAGGAAAATAAAAATAAGAAATATTTTTTAAAATGAATAGTGGTTTGTGCCAATCTAGAGAAAACAAGCTTCGGCAACATAAATACAGCCTTCTTTTTATTATGCGAATAAGTCATGCTTATCCTTTCTGGAATTATTCCAGGAAGAAGTGTTTAAGATTTCTAGGGTAAAATTCTTAGGGGTTGAAATTAAAAATACAGCAGAAATGAGAAGGAATTTAGATCTTTTCATATCAGTTTATTAAGCATTATATACCCTCAGGCGCACCTTGAAAACTGAAATTACGGACCATAGCGGCACAGAAAAATATTTGAAAATAATATGTAGTATGCATATGAAGAAATTAAATAAAAACTATCAAAGAAAATATAAATATTTATACATCACACTCTCTTGACCGCAAGTGATAGAATTTTGTTTTCGTTATCGTCAGCAAAGTTATACAAATTCATACTTTCATCGCGTGAAATTATAAAAAATGTAAATTATTATAGAAAACGCATAAAGTTAAGGAAAGTGTGAAGGAAATCTGGAATAAAAAGTTAAGAAAATTGATGAGAAATAATCCATAATTTATTGATATCCATATAACTCTGCTTTTGGAAAAAGTTACACATAATTTGCACGCGGTATCAATCACCGAAAACGAGTTAATTTCTTTCTTTATTTTTTCTTATTAGAGGGATTTGTAAAAAGCTATGCTAAAGTAAAGGTGAAAATTTTTGCAATATGTTTAAAGAATAAATTTTAAAAGTACTTTTACTTCATGAACTGAAAGTTTTACGCTACATTTTTACACAGTAAATAAACACACAAAAAGTAAGAGCCGGGGGATATCACTGGGACTAGAATTTCGCGTCGAACTACCAATGTTTAGTGACTTTTTCCGCTTGATCATAAGATCTTTTGAAATTAGGCTGAACAATATAATAAAGAAAATAGAAGATATAGCACACGTAAGAACAAAAGTGGGATGAATTGGAGATTTTCATGTTTGGTGAATGAGTTAAACTTACCTGTATGCCATTTGAAAATATTGGAAAGTAGCATAAAAGCATGAGTGAAGAAGGCAATGGCAACTAAATCATTCTAATTAAATGTATAAATATCAGTCGGCTATTAATTTCAATACTGCTGAAAAAATTATAAATGAATTATATTATAAATAGTATGAACTCGTGCATTATTATAAATTACACAGTTGAAAATTATTAGCGTGATTTAGCGCCATCTTGTAAAAACTAATTTCAAGTAACTAATTCTACAAATAAGTCAGCCTGAAACTAGGTTAGAAAATAAGCTACATGCTGGATTAAGCTTGCCAAGGTGTTAGAAAACATCTTCTGTTACTAGAGTTATGAAGTAAGAATTGTAAATTTTATCATTTAAATATAAATTGCATAATACAAACAAATGATATAAATTTTACATACATGAAAATTGAGTAAGTGCAACAGTATGTGAAAAAGGAATGGATTAAAAGAGAGACTGAAAATCCCAGGATATAAGGGAGTTTGATTTTTTTTTGTTATTATAAAAATTCTGATGACGCTCTAATTATAAATTTATTAATTAAATGTGTATTAGAAATTAAATGTATGCCAAAGTACATCAGGTGGAAAACGAATAAATATTTTATAGTATTAGAATATGAAATTGTTAAAACTTCGTTTCTAGTATTAAAAATAATAAACAGGGTCGTAGCGGTCCTTTAAAGTGCTTATAAGTCCTTTTTTGAAAATAAAATATTAAGGCCCTTATAGGTGCTACTTTTTCTTAAAGCCCTTATTTTTTGTTTTTAGTGCTTATTTTTTGCTTTTAGTGCTTTTTTTTAAATCCTTTTTTTAATGGACGCGATTTTTTCCGTACCAAAGCCGAAAACTAAAAAACAACTTTTCTTCTTATGCAACGTCAGATGGTGAATCATACTCCCGAAATTGCTTTCCCCCCTTTCCTCTGCATTAACGTAACCTATGGTGCGCGCGAGCGACAGACAGGTGCACGTCGTTTCTATTGGCCAAAGAATTGCGAAAACGCAGAAAATTCGGTACGTTCGGTATTCTTTTCCTCCACCCAAATACTACACACGTTTGAATTTCTATCAAGATTTTAATAAATTTGCATTCTCGTTCCGCGTAGTCAGTTCATATTCGTGTTTATATGATCTATGCTTATATTATGAGTATATGCATGAATATTTATAATAATATAGTTTCAGTAACTGGTGAAGTATAAACTTCCAAAAAATGGGCATGTTTTTACACAATTAGATTTCTAAGGAAATAATATTTCGGAATGGCTTGAATAAAAGGAAAGTAATTGAATAGTCAAAATAATTTCATTTTTTTTTTCTGCTAATACATTATACAGTACGGAAGTTGGAGTTTCTCCGCAAAATCTCTATATTGAGAGGACCTTTTTTTTGTCACTGTCCAATCTCGATTGAATAGGACAAAACGTTTTTGCGGTCTACCCAACCTAAGCGAAGATTGATTCTCTTCCGGAAATTTAAGACTGTCTGTTGAAAATTAGAATCAGAAACACCCCAGATTAATAAGTCCTCTTTCTTTTCCTTATTTAGTTCTTTTTTCTCCGAATACCGTCAGGTGTTGATTCCGATTGCGTAATATCCCATATGGAAGAATTACGCCGCACGTATGCGCAATAACGTTTCGGTATTTTGCATTGATAATTAATTTTGATGTTCAGTCTGAGATTTGTTTATGCACACTTAAAAGAGTTTTTACTGTGCTTTCTAAGCAGAATATTTTCTCAGTTCCGTTGGTTTTTTATATGATGCACATATCGAAATGTCAAAATCATTTATTTGCCTAAATTTAAATCTAAGAACAGCTCTACTATCTTCCCCACCCACTTTTCCAGTTACGATCCGGAATATTCGGAAATTTCGAGTATGCGGGTTAGTTAAGCTTTTACTGTTAAAGGATGACTGAATGAAGCAATTTTCCTGTCTTCTGATTTCAGAAAGGCCTCTTATTTCTTAAATTACTTTGCTTGGGATATATGTTAAGGAAAAACTGTTATGCAATGAAAATTTAGGAAAATGTTCAGAATTTGATTTAAGTTAAATTCTTTAAATATAATATGAGTGGAAAAATAAATTGTATTTATTATTAGGTGCCAAACGAATACAATTAATATGCTTATTCTTATTATTTTATATTTTCAACTGAATATCATCATTAAATTTTGTAATATAGTTTAGTTCTGCACAGTTTTTTCTCTCATTGTAAACTAATTCTGTAAATTGAACTGTCATTTAAAATTTAAAAAAAAAAAGTTAATTGTTTTCCATTGAAGGTAATGCTCATTCTCTTAATAAATATTGCATTGCTCATATTTTAAATTACAAGTTTAATTTTCTTTTAAGGTTATGCAGTTTGTGTATAATGTATTAGACAGGTGCTTATTTTTTCCTTAAAATGTGCTTGAAAAGTGCTTATAAGTGCTTATTTTTTTTAACTAAAATGTGGCTATGAACCTGATAAAGTTCGTTTTAGTATTAAAAGGAATTTGTAACAAGTTAAATAACCTTAAAATAACCAATGATTAAAAATGGAAAGCTTAATACGGGATATATTGCAATAATATTAGTGTGAATTAGAACGACTTAAGAAGTCCAATTTTTAGATTTAATAAAGATAATTTTTATAATTAAATTAGAACTGTTTACCTAAAATGGTAAATTTGAAAGTTAAAACCATTTTGCTATCTAAGAAGATTTGTTAATTTATCTAGGCAAGAAACTTATTTAAGGTGAGCTACAAATCCGATATTTGATACTTTGAATTATGTATCAGTTTTGTGTATGTCATTAATCTATCAATTTATATTCAAAACTAAATATATATATCAGCGACTAAAATCTACAATTTGGAAAGTTTTTAATTCGTACAGAGAATAAAAAGATCGGCTCATCATTCCTTTAAGCATCATAAAACTTTAAAATGAGTGTAAAGAAATTTATTTTCTAGCACACGTCAGACTTTAAATTAATATTTGTTTTACATGCACAATTTTTACAATATTGATAAACGAAAATAAAGGCTTGCAGTCTCAATAGAATGTCCCATTAATGGCGATAAACGACTTCTTGTAGCACCCAATCTTCTTGGAAAGAAATGGGGGACAGGAAACGTCGCGCAGTTCGTGGATTAAAAAAGAGGGGGACGGGGATTTTCGATCAAATTTGGCGCAGTTCGTACCCTACCATGCATATGATGGTTGCTAGACAGTTTGTTTAATTAATGCTTCTTATAAATAATGTGAGAGCTTAATTTCTAATATTAGAAGTGCCGGAGTCCTATGGAAGACAGCCAAGAAAGATGAACAAGAGTAAATAATTAAAATGACCATAAAA